ACATTTGTTCATTACCATATTTGGTATAAACGCAAACATTTAAAAAAAAAAAAAAAAAAATTCAAAATCAAACTCAGCGTTGCTTTGGCGCGTTCAAAAACCAATAACTCATTTTTAATAGCATTTCGGATACAATACACATATATTTTCGATGTCCTCTTATTACTAAGAGAAAAATACAAGAACAACATCTATTATATACCTGAAGATGTCTGTAGGAACAGACGAAAGCTTGTAGTAAAAATAACAACTAATACGGCAGAAATTTATATAAACAAGGATCAACTCATGCATAACGGATCTCGAGGTTTTTGTGTACTATTTGAATCGTTTGCGAGATGGATGTCTCGCCATTTAAATCATTAACCTTGTATTAGTTTTGTGTGAATAATTCATGTATTTGTAAATTGATTGCACGTTTATTGTAATTTAAATATATATATATATATATATATATACGCGTGTGTACATATATATATATATATATATATATATATATATATATATATATATATATATATATACATCTACGCGTGTGTGTTTATGAGAGTAGTTCTGCTTTTGTATAATTCATTTTTGGTGGGAAAATTTCCTAGAAATCCAAATTTAGTTCAATTGTTTGTCGAGTGAAAATAAAAGTAAAAAACAAGATTTTCATTATTGAATTGAGGAAAATGTTTTCAGAAATAATTTTATCGAAGGTTGAATCAAAAGAAAAAAACAATAATAATAATAATAATAATAATAATAATAGCAGGCTTGATGGATAAATTAAAAAGACTTGCTATCACTTGCTCCATGGTTAAAGTCAATTAGTGTTTTAACTTTTAAAGTTCAAGGCATTTTAACTCATAGAAAACGTTTAGGCTAATACTACTAATAATAATAATACTACTAATAGTAATACTACTACTAATACTACTAATACTACTACTACTAATACTACTACTACTAATACTACTACTACTAATACTAATACTACTAATAATTTAGCTTGAAATAATGAAACTGTTTTGTCACTTTGTGGATATGCGTGTCAGATACGTGTGTTAGTCTGTGTGTCTGGGTCTCTGTGTGTGTGAATGTGTGTCGGCTTGGAAGTGTGTGTGTGTGTGTGACATTGCAGAACATTTACTTTTTATATTTCGTATGTCTGTCTGTCTGTCTGTCTGTTCGTCTATATGCAGTATCTATCTGTCTATCTTATTAAAACTGTTTTCTATCTATCTATCTATCTATCTATCTATCTGATTCCTTTTAATATCTATCTATCTATCTAATTCAAACTGCTTTCTTTCTATCTTAATAGGGCAACTTGGGGCGGTGTAATGGTTATCAATCTTGTCACTCGAAACTTACGACTTAGCAGTGAGTTCGATCCTCACAGGGTGTCCCTTACTTTCGGCCTTGTGCCATATCTAAGCTACGTTTGGAATATCCCTATACTGTTTCTGTCTGTCTGTCTATTTTATAAAAACTGCTATCTATCTATCTGTATCGCTTCATTACCTTGTAGAGGGCCGTGGCTGTTATGTTGTTGATAGAAGTCAGACGTAGAAGAAACGCAAGTAAGGTTCAGATACTCCTGCTCGCCGGGTCCAACTACATAAAAAGGTTGGACTTTGATTAAGTCCAAAGAAGAAGGCAAAGAAAAGCAAACAAAACACAAGACCGATAATATATGTATATACAAATATATATTAATAACAAGTTACAATACATGGAAACAGTACAAAGGATGAAGTGTATGGGAATATTCTGTATGTGCGTGTCTGTGTATTGTGCTTAGCGTGTTTCCACGCTATCCCTTGTTAGCGCCTACATTTCGAGGTTGTAAGCTGAAAGCCTGATGAAAAGGAGAGATTTACCTCAAGGTGTCGGTGCACAGGCCTGAAGGAAAAAAGAGAGATCGAGGCGAAGCGAAGGGTCCGCGGCTATTTTTAGCCAGGAAAGAGAGACCCCTGGTGAAAGGCTTAATGTACTAAAGGAGGAGTTAACTCCGACAACCTATCTATCTATCTATCTATCTATCTATCTATCTCTTTACCTGTCTGTCTGTCGATCTATCAACCTGACCTGCTGTCTCTCTGTATATATATTTTCATTATCTATCTATCTATCTATCTATCTATCTATCTATCTATCTTATTAAAACTGATATCTATCTCAGTGTCTATCTTTATCTGACGGAGCGTTTCAGTCAATTGCCGAGAGTCTGTTGGGACCCGATCAGACTTGTGCTGTGAAGGGCAGAACATTTCAGAGCAACCTGCATCTGATCCGCACGATCCTAGAGGGTGTAAAAGACGACGAGCAAGCCGCGCTGATCAATTTGGATCAGTCCAAGGCATTTGATAGGGTCGACCATCGGTTTCTGGCTGCTGTCCTGCAGGCCACCTGATTCCAACCCGACTTCTGCAAGTGGATTAGCCTCCTGTATCGCTCACCCAGTGCTGTGGTACAGGTGAACGGAAAGCGGTCGCGCGCTTTTGCGCTGTCTCGGTCGGTTCGTCAGGGTTGCCCACTACTGAAGGACGGGGCGTGCAGTCCGGCCCTGGTGAGGCTCGAGCCAGGGTTTCCGCGTACGCCGATGACATATCCATTTTCGTGTCGTGCCACAGCGACATTGAGGTGGTACAGAAGGCGCTTGAACGGTACGAAAAGGTCACAGGGGCCAAGATTAACCGTAACATGTCTTCCGGCTTGAAGGGGGTCTCTCTTCCGGGGCCTTTCAGTTGGACGGACGGTCCTGTCCGCATTCTCGGAGTGTAGTTTGGACCCGACTTCCAGATGGAGAAAAATTGGTCAGAAGTACAGGCAAAGTTCGGAGCGTCGGTCCGGACTTGGCTCCGAAGGAGGTTGTCCTTGAAGGGTAGAGCGGAGGCGTGTGCCACTTACGTCTTTCCTCTCGTCCTTTACAGCTTGGCTGTACTTCTTCTTTGCAAGGACCATAGGAAGGCGATCGATCGCTTGTTGTCCACCCTCTTGTGGGGTGGGCGCAAGCAGAAGGTCCGTAAAGAAGCTTGTGTCCAACGTACGTGTCATGGGGGGGCTGGGATTGCCGCACGTGGTGAGTCATCGACACGCCTCGAGATTGGCCTTCCTACGCCGCGTTTTGATAGAGGATTCGATTTTGGTGGGGAGTGTTAGGGACGCCTTCCCTAGCCTTACTATCACTCCTCCCATTTCCTGGGCTAAGCGCCGTCGTAGGTCCGGGAAATTGTCGACTTTTCTCAACGAGTGTCGAGCGGCCTTTGTGGGCCTTTCCTCGGTCCAGTGACCTTTCACGGCCTCGAAAGGTCGAATTACCTCAGTAACACTGAGTTTTCTCTTACCTGGCGATTGATCCGCAACGTGCTATCTCTCAATGACATGGCCTTCAGATGGGGCTGGGCGGATTTGCCCGACTATTACCGGTGTGACCTTGGTTTAGAAGAAACGGCTTTGCATGCCTTCTACCATTGTCCTCAGGTACGCACTTTCTGGGAATATGTCGGTGAGCTGACGGCTCGTATCGCTCCCGATAAGCTTGTACTCATCGATCTCGCATACGCGTGCGACAATGTGTCGCCCCCGTATTCTGGGGTGAAACGAATGGTGTTTCTAACGTTGCTAGCCGTGGCAAGAATGTTGATCTGGATGACGCGAAAGGAGGGGACCTTGCGACGGGAACGCTATTCTCATCAGGTTCTGATCTTCACTTTCAGCTTCAGCTGAAAGTGACGATCAGAACTGATAGAAAGCGTTTGGTGTCGACAGATTTCAACGAAAGATGGGTAAAAGTAGCGAGTTTGGTTCGAGTGAAAGGGGCTATCCTTGAGTTCCTTTTTTAAGTCCCCTCTCGTCACAACGGGGCGGTTTCCTGCAAATCCCCCTCCCCCCTCGTTAAGGTAGATCCCATTTTTGTTTTTGTTCCTGGCCTGTTCCGACGCTTTATGAGCCAAGTTGAGATTCCCAAACGCCCCAGTTTGTTTTCGGCCGCCTTTTTATCTCGACTGGTTCAGTCTTTGACTTCCTCATGCCCTACATTTATTTTTCCCCCCCCTTCCGTTAGAGAGTTAGCTTCTTGATTCTGTCTGATGACAGAATACAGCGGCAACTCTGATTTTGTGGGGTGGGCGGGCCCAGCTAACATTAATTATTTTCTGTTACTTTCTGTTTTATATATAATTTTTATATCGGGATTCAGAACCTTCCCCAACATTTCACATCATCGTCAGATTTATATATATATATATATATATATATATATATATACATATATATATATATTATGAACCTTTGTACATAAGAGATTTTATAACATGGGGTTTAATTTTTAGGGTCCCGTTGTGAATGTGGTATTGTGTTATATGTCGGGGTAAAAGGTGAAGGGTGAATTCTTTTGGTGAATGGGTTTTTTGTATTAAATGAATGGGTCGTGAATCGGGTTAGCTAGGTATAGGGTAGGTAAGGATGACCAACCTCAAACCCAACCCCCACTTCAAGGCCATATGCCACAATTATTGTATTTTGCAATAATAAATAGAATCTATCTATCTATCTATCTATCGCAGTCCTTTTAATATCTATCTATCAATCAATATATCTATTTGAGTCCTTTTAATGTCTCTCTGCCTATCTATCTATATATCTATCTATCTAAGACCTTTTAATATCTATCTATCTATCTATCTATCGCAGTCCTTTAAATATCTATGTGTCTATCTATCTATCTATCTATATCTATCTGAGTCCTTTTAATATCTGTCTATCTGAATATCTATCATTCTATCTATTTAAGTCCGTGTAATATCTATCTATCTATCTATCTATCTATCTATCTATCTCAGTCCTTTTAATATCTATCTAGCTAGCTAGCTAGCTATCTCAGTCCTTTTAATATCTGTCTGTGTATAAATCTATTTCAGTCATTTTAATCTGTCTGTCTATGTATCTATCTATCTGATTCCTTTTATATCTATCTATCTATCTATCTATCTATCTATCTATCTATCTATCTATCTATCTATCTCAGTCCTTTTAATATCTGTCTATCTATATATCTGTCCTTTTAATATCTATCTATCTATCTATCTATCTATCTATCTATCTATCTCAGTCCTTTTAATATCTATCTATCTATCTTTATATCTAACTATCTATCTATCAGTCCTTTTAATATATATCTGTCTATCTATGTCAATCCTAATATCTATCTTTGTCTCCTTGTAATAACTTTCTGTCTATGTATCTATTTATGTCTCTCAGTCTTTTTAATACATATCTATCTATCTATTATTATCTATCTAATATCTATTCTATCTATCTATCTATCTAATATCTTCTATCTATCTTTATAATATATCTATCTATCTTTATATCTAACTATCTATCTATCAGTCCTTTTAATATATATCTGTCTATCTATGTCAATCCTAATATCTATCTTTGTCTCCTTGTAATAACTTTCTGTCTATGTATCTATTTATGTATCTCAGTCTTTTTAATACATATCTATCTATCTATCTATCTATCTATCTATCTAACTACTTTTAATATCTGTCTATCTATTTATCTATCTGATTAATTTTAATATCTATCTATCTATCTATATGTGTCCTTTTAATATCTATCTCAGTCCTTTTAATATATATATATATATATGTCTATCTTTCTGTCGCAGTCCTTCTAATATGTATCTATCTGTCTGTCTATCTATCTGTGCTTTTAATATCTATCTATCTATCTTTCTATCTATCTATCTATCTATCTCAGTCCTTTTTTTTCTTTGTATCTATCTATCTATCTATCTATCAATCTATATTTTTAATATCTGTCTGTCTACCTATCTATCTGTGTCCATTTATCTATCTATCTATCTATCTATCTATCTATCTATCTGAGTTCTTTTAATATCTATCTGCCTATCTATCTATCTGAGACATTTCAATATCTATCTACCTAACTATCTATCTATTTATCTAATTGAGACTTTTAATATCTATCTATCTATCTATCTATCTATCTATCTATCTATCTATCTATTTCCGTCATTTTAATATCTATCCTTCTATATATCTATCTCAGTCCATTTAACAGCTATCTCTCTATCACTCTATCTATCTGATTCCTTTTAATATCTATCTCTCTATCAATCAATCTCTTATCTATCTCAGTCATTTTAATATTTATCTATCTATCTATCTATCTATATCTATTTTAATATCTATCCATCTATCTATCTATCTATCTGAGTCCTTTTAATATATCTATCTATCTGTCTGTCTATCTATCTCTCTACCTTTCTATCTGAGTCCTTTTAATAACTATCTGTCTATCCATCCATCGTTCTATCTCTCTCAGTCCATTAAATATCTGTCTATCTATCTATCTATCTGCATTAGTCCTTTTGATATCTATCTATCTATCTATCTATCTATCTATCTTAGTGCTTTTAATATCTATCTATCTGTCTATCTCCCTATCTACTTAAGTCTTTTTAATTACTATCCGTCTGTCTATCTAACTGTCTCCATCATTTTAATATCTATCTATCTATTTATCTATCTATCTCAGTCCTTTTAATATCTATCTATCTATCTATCTATCTATCTAATTCCTTTTCATATCTATCTATCTGTCTATCTCCCTATCTACTTAAGTCTTTTAATTACAATCTGTCTGTCTATCTAACTGTTTCTGTCATTTTAATATCTATCTATCTATCTATCTATCTATCTATCTATCTATCTATCTATCTATCTATCTATCTATCTATCTCAGTCCTTTTAATATCTATCTATCTATCTATCTATCTATCTATCTATCTATCTATCTATCTATCTATCTATCTATCTATCTATCTCAGTCCTTTTAATATCTATCTATCTATCTATCTATCTATCTATATCTATCTATCTATTCATTTTATATCTATCTATATATATATCTAGTCATCATTTTAATCTGTCTATCTATGTATCTATCTATCTTTGATTCCATCTTTTAATATCTATCTTTTATCTATCTCAGTCCTTTTTTATCTATCTATCTATATCTATCTATCTATCCTTTTATCTATCTATCTATCTATATCTATCTATCTATCTCAGTCCTTTTTTTATCTATCTATCTATATATCTATCTATCTATCTATCAGTCCTTTTAATATCTGTCTATCTATATCTATCTATATATCTATCTGTCTATTTATATCTTTCTATCTATCTATCTATTTATGTATTATCAGTCTTTTAATACATCTATCTATCTATATCTATCTATCTATCTATCTATCTAACTACTTTTAATATCTGTCTATCTATCTATCTATCTGATTAATTTTAATATCTGTCTATCTATCTATCTATCTATATGTGTCCTTTTAATATCTATCTCAGTCCTTTGAAAATATATATATGTCTGTCTATCTTTCCGTCGCAGTCCTTCTAATATGTATCTATCTGTCTGTCTATCTATCTCTGTGCTTTTAATATCTATCTATCTATCTTTCTATCTATCTATCTCAGTCCTTTTTTTTCTTTGTATCTATCTATCTATCTATCTATCTATCTTTTTAATATCTGTCTGTCTACCTATCTATCTGTGTCCATTTAATATATATCTGTCTTTCTACATATCTATCTATCTGAGTTCATTTAATATGTATCTGCCTATCTATCTATCTGAGACATTTCAATATCTATCTACCTAACTATCTATCTATTTATCTAACTGAGACTTTTAATATCTATCTATCTATCTATCTATCTATCTATCTATCTATCTATCTATCTATCTATTTCCGTCATTTTAATATCTATCTATCTATCTATCTATCTTAGTGCTTTTAATATCTATCTATCTGTCTATCTCCCTATCTACTTAAGTCTTTTTAATTACTATCCGTCTGTCTATCTAACTGTCTCCATCATTTTAATATCTATCTATCTATCTATCTATCTATCTATCTATCTATCTATCTATCTATCTATCTATCTCAGTCCTTTTAATATCTGTCTATCGATATATCTGTCCCTTTAATAACTATCTATCTATCTATCTCAGCCCTTTTAATATCTATCTATCTTTATATCTAACTATCTATCTATCAGTCCTTTTAATATATATCTGTCTATCTATCTATGTCAATCCTAATATCTATCTTTGTCTCCTTGTAATAACTTTCTGTCTATGTATCTATTTATGTATCTCAGTCTTTTTTATACATATCTATCTATCTATCTATCTATCTATCTATCTATCTATCTATCTATCTATCTACTTTTATTATCTGTCTATCTATCTATCTATCTGATTAATTTTAATATCTGTCTATCTATCTATCTATATGTGTCCTTTTAATATCTATCTCAGTCCTTTTAATATATATATGTCTGTCTATCTTTCTATCGCAGTCCTTTTGATAAATATCTATCTATCTATCTATCTATCTATCTATCTATCTATCTATCTATTTTCATATCTATCTTAGTCCTTTTTTTTCTTTGTATCTATCTATCTATCTATCTATCTCAGTCCTTTTAATATCTATCTATCTATCTATCTATCTATCTATCTATCTATCAGTCCTTTTAATATTTATCTGTCTATCTATCTATCTGAGATTTTCTAATATCTATCTACCTAATCTATCTATCTATCTATCGCAGTTCTTTTAATATCTATCTATCTATCTATCTCAGTCATTTTAATATCTGTCTATCTATCTATCTGAATCCTTTTAATATTATCTATCTATCTATCTATCCTTATAATATATATCTGACTATCTATCTATCTATCTATCTCAGTCCTTTTTATCTATCTGTCTATATCTATCTCAGTGCTTTTAATATCTGTATGTTTCTCTATCTATCTATATATCTCTATCTATTTTAATATATATCATTATCTATCTATCTATCTATCTATCTATCTATCTATCTATCTATCTATCTATCTATCTATCTATCTATCTATTATATATATCTATTATCTATATAGTCCTTTTAATATACATCTGTCTATCCATCTATGTCAATCCTATATATATATATCTCTGTCTTCTTTTAATATCTATCTATGTATCTATTTATGTATCTCAGTCCTTTTAATATCTATCTGTCTCTCTCTCTATCTATTGGAGTACACTTATTATCTATCTATCTATTTTCTAGTACTTTATATATATATATATATATATATATATATATATATATATATATATATATCGATCTATGTCAGTCTTTTGATATCTATCTATCTATTTAATCATTTTAATATCTATCTATCTATCGAAGTCCTTTTAATATCTATCTATCTATCTATTTGAGTTTTTTTAATATCTATATGTCTGTCTATGTATCTATCTATCTGAATCCTTTAAATATCTATCTGTCTATATATCTATCTACGTCTTTTTAATATGTATCTATCTATCGATCGATCGAACTATCTCAGTCCATTTAAGATCTATCTCTCTATCAATCTATGTCCTTTGCATATCTATCTGTCTATCTATCTCCCTAAGTCCTTTTCATATCTATCTATCTATCTATCTATCTATCTATCTATCTATCTATCTATCCTTTTCATATCTAAGTCCTTTTTTTCTTTGTATCTATCTTTCTATCAATCTATCTATCTCAGTCCTTTTAATAGATTTCTGTGTCTATCTATGTATCTATCTATCTAGCTATCTATCTCACTCATTGTAATATCTGTCTTTTTATCTGAGTCCTTTTGATTTCTATCTATCTATCTATCTATCTATCTATCTATCTATCTATTTCAGTCCTTTTAATATATATCTGTCTATCTATGTGTCTATCGCAGTCCTTTTAATATCTATCTATCTATCTATCTATCTATATCTATCTATATCTATATATCTATCTATCTATATATATATATATATATATATATATATATATATATATATATATATATATTTGGTTGGATAGATGTGAGTTTATGACCCTGGGTTTCACGCTTTAGCGATCGTCAGACAAACTATCTTAGCTCTATCTCTGATATTGAGCGCTTTGTAATAAGTACCCGCATATAATATATAAATAATTATACATATATATATTTATTTATATTTATATACACTTTTCACACACACACACACACACACACACACATATATATATATATATATATATATATATATATATATATATATATATATATATATATATGGATCTATCTATCTATCTCAGTACTTTTAATATCGCTCTGTGTATCTATCAATCTCTGTCCTTTTAATATCTATATGTCTGTCTATTAGTCCTTTTAATATGTATCTGTCTATCTATCTGTGTCCTTTTAATATCTATCTATCTATCTATCTATCTATCTATCTATCTATCTAAGTCCTTTTCATATCTATCTATCTGTTTGTCTATCTGTCTATTTACCTAACGGCTATTCACATCTATCTATCTATCTATCTATATATATATATATATATATATATATCTTAGTGCTTTTAATAACACCGTGTATCTATCTATCTGTCTCTGTCTATTTAATTTCTATCCGTCTATCTGTCTCCACCATTTTTATATCTATCTATCTATCTATCTATCTATCTATCTATCTATCTATCTATCTATCTATCTATCTATCTATCTCAGTCCTTTTAATATATATCCCTATCTACTTAAGTCCTTTTCATATCCGTCTATCTATCTATCTATCTATCTCAGTCCTTTTCATATCTAGCGATGTACGTGAGTACTTTTCATATCTATCTATCTCTGGTAATAATAATAATAATAATAATAATAATAATAATAATAATAATTATAATAATAATAATAATTGTCTTGTAATAATAATGATGTTAGTAATATTGTAATATTAATAATCTCATGAGAAGATTACAAATAATCTTCTAATAATAATCCTAATAATCTTGGTTAATAACACTAATAATATTGTAATAATAATAGTAAGAATAATATTTGTAATATTTTAGTAATGATTATACTACTAATCTTGTGATAATAATAGTAATAATCTTGTACTAATGACGATACTAAAATTGTGATAATGATAATAATCTCGCAACAATATTACTAATAATCTTGCAGTTTTTTAGTAATAATGATACTAATAATATTGTAATACCAAAAATCCCGTAATTATAATAATAGACATAATCCTGAAATAATAAAGATGCTAATAATATTCCCATAATAATAAACCCGCAACAATATTACTAATAATCATGTAATAGTAACTGTAAGAATCTTGTAGTAATAATGATACTTGTAATATTATAATAATGATACTAATAAAATTGTAATAATAGTAATAATGATCGCATAACAATATTAGTAATAATCTTGCAATAATAATAGTAATAATCTCGTACTGACATTGATACCAATAATATTGTAATAATAATAACAATAATGATCCCGTATCAATATTAGTAATAATTGTTTAACAATAACACTAATAATATCGTAGTAATAACGGTACTAATGATATTGTAATAACGATAAAAATCTTGTAATCTGATCTTGTAATAATAATGATACTAATAATCTCATAATAATAATAATACTAATAATGTATTAATTATGATACTAATAATATTGTAATAATAATAATAATAATCTCTTGACAATATTACTTATAATATTCTAACAATAACACTAATAATCTTGTAGTAATAACGATACTATTAATATTTTAATAATAATAACCTTGCAATAATAATATTAATAATAATCTAACAATAATGATCGCGTAACAATATTAGTAATAATCTTGTAATAATGACGCTAATAATATCGTAGTGACAGTGCTACTAATTATATTGTAACAACAATAATCTGGCAATAATAATAGTAATAATCTTGTAATAATGATAATAAGCTTGAAATAATATTACTAATAATCTTGCAGTAATATTACTAATAATCTTGTGCCAATAATCCTGGTCATATGGTAATAATAATAGTAAGAATCTAGTGATAATGATACTAATAATATAATAATAATTCTGGTCATAATAATAATGATACTAATAATCTTGTAAGGATAATACTAATAATCTTGCAATAATAATAATAATGATCTTGTAATGATAATGAGAAGAATCTAGTAATAATAATATGAATAATCTTGCAACAATAATAGTAATAATACTAATAATCTTTTAATGAAAAGACTAATAATATTGCAATACTAATGATACCATTAATCTTGTAATAATAATAGTAATAATCCTGTAATAATAATAATAATAATAATAATTTTCTATATATAGGTGTGTGTGTGTGTGTTTGTCTGTGTGTATACATATAAATATATATTCACTTAACTTGGCGGCACACACTCTTCATGGCCGTGATGCCGTACATGTTGGGGGTGCTTAAGGACTCGCTCGGTGCATCCGAATTCCATTTCATTTTAGATATTGTCGACCTGGGGAAGAAAGATAATGTTACATAAGAACTAGATATATACGTATGTCTGGGCGTGTGTGTGTGTGTATACATATTATATATATATATATATATATATAGTTAGTTAGTTAGTTAAATTCCCAGATAAATTCTCAAATGACAATATAAATATATATATATATATATATATATATATATATATTTGGTTGAATAGATGTGAGTTTGTGACCCTGGGTTTCAGGCTTTAGCGATCGTCAGACAAACTCCATTTCATTTTAGACATTGTCGACCTGGGGGAGAAGAGAATGTTATAGAAGTAAATCTCTGTGTGTGTGTGTGTGCGTGCGTGCGTGTGTGTTTTTACGAACGATGGCTTTCAACGAACGTGTGCATTTAACACTTCGACGGACTTACGCATTTAGCTTGTAATGCGCATTTCGGGCGTACGGCGACCAGCAACGAAGGAATTCAACGGTCTCACGTATTTGCCTTGTAATGCGCATTACGCACGTTCGGCTACGGTAAACGGTGACTTAGACGTAGTCTTATTAATCTAATGTGTTTACATTGAATTTTAGAAATTTCCTCTTTAAATTTACTATAGTTATCCGTGTTATTTTCTGATCATATCGCCTGTACTTACCAAGAGAGAAAAAATTAAAATAAAATAAAATCAATTAAAAGAACAAAAAAAAGCACTTTTATACATTAATTAAAAAAAAAAAAAATTACAAATTTTAAAAACATTCCGGTTTTATAATTTTTTCTTTGTAAATATAGTTTTTACTTAAAATCATCAAAACTGCAGAAATTAATAAAGAATTTTAAAAGAATTAAAACTTAATAAATTTTCCTAAAAAAAATTTATGAAAAAACAAAAACAATTCTTGAAAAAATTCATTATTCATTGAGAAATTTAATTCTTCTTAAGCTAATAACTATGCCCTTAATATATCTTATTTCTAAAAGCAAATAAAAGCTTTTCTAATTAACTAATTATAGGGTTTATGGCTTTTTTTATTTAAAGAGCAAATTTTTTGATAAATAAAACAATTTGTTTAAAAATTAATAATTACAAAAAAACAAAAAAAAAAAAAATCGCATAGAAAACGACGATATAAATTTTCCTAAAGGATTCCAGCATTTGACCAACGAAAATTCAGAAATTTTATGACTACCTGGTTTTAGGTTTAAAGGTCCGAGCAAGGTATATATCTAAGACGCATTACGGGCGTCCGGCGACGGCGAACGAAGGCAATCGACGGAATTACGCATTTGCATTCCAAGGCGAATTACGGCCGTCCGGCGAACGAAGGCCGGCCAACATCTGCGACGGACTTATGCACTTACATTCCAAGGCGCATTACGGGCGCCCGGCAACGGTGAACGAATTCCGGCCAACAACAACTACGACCATACCATCTGAGGCGCATTACGGCAGCCCGGCCACCGTGAACGACTCTCTCACAGCAAATTGATTCAGTGGCATTTAAAACCGATGAATGATTTACAAAGGAGGCCACATATGGAGCAAGTATGAGGATTGTGAGATGTGATCACTGTTAGATTGGCTGACCTTTCAGATCTTGCTCTCGCTTCTTGTAGATGATTCACACAAGCAGAATGAAAACCGCCGACTCCACCAAAACACGTTGATCTCCACTCTACCCGCTCCAAGGCTACGCGCTGAAGTGTGTTATATTGACTGCTGATAAGTTGCATTAAAACTGGTCTTTGTATATATATATATATATATATATATATATATATATATATATATATATATATATATATATATATATATGTAATGAATTAGGGTTAGGGTTATCTATCTCTTATATATATATATATTTCTATTACTTTCGTTCTCATCAATTCGGATACATACATACATATATATATATATATATATAATGAATTAGGATTCCTATATTTTTGCTTGAGGATGACACGGGGCTTGATACTTTAATTCAGTTTAATTTCGATAATTAAATTGAAGTTTTCGGCCCTTGTTTTTGAAACATGAGAAGTCTTATGTAGCGAAGGAATCGTGTATATATATATATATATATATATATATATATATATATATATAGATAGATAGATAGATAGATAGATAGATAGATAACAATACTCGTTTCGAAAACCTTCGAATTTTTGATTTTCCAATAATCAAATCAATCTCGAGGGAAAAAAAGGTTTTTAAAAAATGAAAGAGCTACAAACATGAAAGTCTGTCGAAAAAAATCGCACAGATACAGGTTTAAAGCCAAAAAAAAAAAACCCGATACGAATAAACAACTAACTAACAAAAGAGCTCAATACAACCGTAGAGCAGACCTAGATAAACCTAGTGAGCCAGACAAACCTACCTAGGTTTCACCTAAATGGATCGTCAGGGAAAGCCGGCTAAAGAGCAAAAGGAAACGCATATTTATAGGCGATAGCCAAAATTATACCACGTGACCAAAGAAAGAAAAACACAACACAAAACCACCTGAGCTTAAAGATTTATTCAACAAAAAGGGGAGGAGATATTAAAATACGAACATTAAGGTGGAATGACAAATAAACGGGAAACAACGTCTAATTTAGTAACCAAGATTTTTTATGCCTACATACGTTAAGGATTTCAGTTTTGGAGTATAATAGCTGGTTAGGTTAATCATATAAAGCTATGGCTAATTTCTCCTCTGTACATAATTTACAAAATTTTTGGCCTGCTTTATATTTGGGGCATTTTTTTTTAAATATTTCCCATTTAAGGATGGGGTCTTTATCATTTTCATGTCTAGTTTTCCATAGGTGGATAGTGTGGTACTATGTTTAATTTTTGCGTTTTTAAAACTACTCGTGTGATTATAGTATCTTTTTTTTAAATTTACCCTGAGTAGCACCTATGTATGTTTTAGGGTTAGTATCCTCCCTATCCTTATAAATTTTCACCTGGTAAACCACGCATTTTTGCTGACATTTTCCCTGTAATTGGGCAGATATTTTTGTTTCTACAATTACAAGTAGGAGGATTACTGCGTGGATTATCCCTAGTTTTTTTTTTTCTTATTCAATCCATTTATTATAGTTCCTACATTAAGCATGCAACAATAACTAAGTTTTACATTGTTTTTAATGAATATTTTATGTAACTCAGTTTTTTTTTTGGGGGGAAATGTTGCTCTAATAAGTCAAAAAATATTTTGCCAATTTTTGTTTTTACCGCTAAATTAAAAAGAGGGTTAAACCATAAAATATTTCTCTGCCTATTGTTACGTTTATTCTGAGTACTGTTGTGGTTATTTATATTAATATATTCTAATTTATTTTTATGTCCACTCTTAGATAGGGCTTCCTCATAACTTATTTTATTGGCCTCAAAAATGTCCCTATTGGAGGAATTAGTAGAAAGTCTATAACTAATGTTTTTTGGAATATGTCTTATGATATGGGCGGGGTGATTAGATTTTATGTTTAAATATTGGGGTTCCTGGTTCTCTTTTTTTATACGGGGATATTGTACCATTTTGTAAATTCAACGTAATATCTAAATAGTGATTTTCAAATTAGCTTCTATTTCGAGATTAAATCCGAATTTAAAAAAAAAAACAGTGCAGTTTTTTAGGGATAGTGTCACATTTTTGAGGGTTACTTTTATCCACTATGATTAAACCGTCGTCGCGGTACAACCCATGGTTGTTAAAGTCTATATATTCATTAAGCCTATGGAGCAGCAGGCACCCTAGTATCTCGCACACCTCTGCCCCATCATACGCTCCCATAGGGTTGTCAAAACCGTTAATATTATCTTTTTTTATCCATATAGTATTATCGTGAAATAGCAATGTTTTTCTACAATGTCTAATTAGATTTATTTTATCATCAGAAATTTGGATGTATTCTTTGGCTAAGCTAAGGGCTTCGTTTAGGGTTTTCTCTGAAATAGACGGGTAATATTCCTTAATATCATACCTAATGAATGAGCACTTTTTATTTTTGTTGTAATTTTCAAACCATCCTTAGTTGATTGCCATTGGTTAATATTAAGGAAAGTTCTAAGGGATTTCCATATATCCTGCAGAATTATTTTACTTATTTTACCTAATTCTGTTTTGGTAGGGTTTATGAGTCTGTATTCAGGGTTATTAATAAAATTACTTTTATGATCTTTTATGGTGATAAAGCAAGTGTTTAGGTTTATTTTTTCAACTCGATTTCCTAATTCAAATTTATTAATTAAGATACTAGCCTCATTGTTAATTTTAGTCTCTATGTCATTTGGGGCTTTTATATAATGTTTTATTACTTCTTTATGTAATATTTTTTTGTAATTATTGGGGTTCATTTTATATAAGAATTTAGATTTATCGGCTTTTACGTAGATGTTCTTATCATTCTTTATTTCTTTTATGTTCTTAGTAATTTGCTGTTGCACATTATTATTTCTTATTTTTCTATATTTTAATTTTTTAATGATGCCGATTAACTCCGATTCGAAGTTATTGAGTTCCTTAAGACCAAAGCCCATCCCGCGTATGTTAAGCCTTAACATACGTGAGATGGACGTTGGTCTTAAATCCATAGCTCTCGTTGGTTTTGCTATTAGGTTTATTATTTAGACAAAAATATGCTCGCCACCTCATATTCATTATAAATTTTTCTATTTTTCTTAGTAAACATAACTCGTATGAGTGACGGTCAGGTGTAGGTATGTTTTTAAGTGAATAACCTATGTCTACGCGTTCCATATTAGTCGATTTAAAACAGTGCTCGATAGGATAACCTAGAGCTTTATACATATAAATATAGATAACTAGACTCGTTTCGAAAAACACTCGAATTTTTGATTTGCTAATCAAATTAATCTCGAGGAAAAAAAGGTTTAAAAAAAAAGAAAGAGCTATAAACATGAAAGTCTGTCGAAAAAAAATCGCACAGATACAGGTTTGAAGCCCAAAGAAAAAACCCCGATACGAGTAAACAACTAACTAACAAAAGCGCTCAATACAACCGTAGAGTAGTATATATATATATATATATATATATATATATATATATATATATATATATATATATATATATATATATATATATCCGAATTGATGAGAACGAAAGTAATATAGAAATTCTAATGATGACAGCAACCAAACCCAAACCCCACCCCTGAAAAAATAAAACAAAATAAATAAGAACATCAAATTGGATTAAAAACAAAATGATTTATTAAGAATCGATAAGATTACAGAAAGAAAGCAAGAAAAACAACTTCTGACAGATTTTATTCGGTGGGGATGCCTTTTTTTTTGCCGTAAGGTACGTCCAAATGGACATGTGTTTAAAAAAAAAAACTATTCCTTGAACTAGGATTTGCATCCCAGGTATCTGAAAGAAAGCAAAAGAAAACAGGGTTAAGTAAAGCATTGGAAAATGTTCTTACGACAGAAGCACAATGGAAATAATGATGGAAATAATGATGGCAATATTAATAATAATAATCTCGTACTAATAGCGATAGCAATAATAAAGATTGCGTAACAACATTAGTAATAATCTTGTAAAAGTAACCCTAATAATATCGTAGTAACAATGACACTAATAATATTGCAGTAACAAGAATCTGGTAACAATAACAACCTTCCGATAACAAGACTAATAATCTAGTAATAATAATGATACTAACAATATGGCAATAATAATAATCTCGTGGAAATAACGATACTAACAATATTGTAATAAAAATAGTAATGATCTCGCACCAGTAATAACCTTGTAATAACAATGCTAATAATCTGGCAATAATAATACTGATAATCTCGTACTGACAGTGATAACAACAATAATGATCGCGTAACAATATTAGTAATAATTCGTAACAATAACGCTAATAACATTGTAGTAGCAATGACACTAATAATATTGAAGTAACAATAATCTGGTAACAATAACAACAATAACCTTGCGATAACAATACTGGCGATCTCGTAATAACAACGATGCTAATAATATCGCAATAATAATAATAATAATCTCGTAACAATATTACTAACAATCTTCTAATAATAACACTAATAATCTCGTGACAATACCGATACTGACAGTATTGTAATAACAATAATAATAATCTTGCCCTAGTAATGAAACTAATAATATTGTAATAATAATGATCTCGTAACAGTATCAGTAATAAACTTGTAACAGTAATACAATCTGGCAATAATAATACTCATAATCTCGTACTAATAGCGATACCAATAGTATTGCAATAATGATAACAATAATGATCGCGTAACAACAGTAGTAACGATGACACTAATAATATTGCAGTAACAATAATCTGGTGACAATAACAAATTAGTAATAACCTTGTAACAAGCGCAAACTTCAAGCTTCGATTTAAGGCATTTCTCATGCAGCTATGCCACGGGAAGTGATTTTATCTTTTCTACGACTCAATCTACGTAGGAATCAGTAATAAAATGAGTAT